GTTGTAACCACTGCAGTACATACTGTATACAGTAAGTACAAAATGGAACTGATATGACTCTACATTAAAGAGCACTGGTCCTGGATTGCACAGAATTCCGAAACATTTTGTTTTAGAAAACATGATTATAGATTGCTTATAAGAAATCACATTGTGTGATAAGTTTAGCTTTGTTATAAAAATCAGAAAATATTGCAGCGCTGAGTAGGATTAGAATGGATGTGGAATGAAGCTGGAATTAACAGTACTTTTGACTTTTGGTCATTTATGAAAAGTATTGTATTACATTGAGCTGTGGTATGAATGTCTTACATTTTCACTAACTGCAGTAATTTATAAGGAAATATCAAGTGAGTGATTCATCACTTGCAGCTGTAAGGTATTTGCTGAGACAAGGTCTACTATGCCCAATACACAATTGGCAGCTAAAGTAGGGGCTTGTAAATCAGTATAATCTGATTTTAGCATGTTGTAATTTTCCAGATAAATAGACAGTTGATTCCACAGTTCCAAGGTCAATTGTCCATAGAATACCAAACAATTACAGAGACATTTCACTATCATACTCTATAGGGAAAGGTCAGTGTAGGATTCTGAGAATAATACATCAAATTTTGTAAGTGATAAAAAAATCTCATTATATCAACAATGTTGGTGTCTACACTTAAGTCTATTAAGCTGAAGGTCAATTGTTAGATTCATATAGATGGGATATTTATTTGTATTTCTTATGCTGAGCATGTAACATGGAACAGCTGGGCAATGTAAATCAGTTTTCAGAATGGAATACATGTGTTCGGAGAAAAAGGTTTGTTTTAACTATGCTATTTTCTGATAATGAATTATGACAAACATTTTAAAATAGGAGTATTATAATAATTTGCAGAAACATAATGATTGAGACTCTACATCTCATTCTGTACTCCATTTGTAGACTTGTTTAATATAAAACAGAGAAAACTATTCTAAAGGACATCTGTATTTTTAAATTCAAAATATGTAAATTATTCTGTTAATTTTACACAGCTTCTTCAGCATTGGTACATATTTCTGTCATTTGTATAAGCAATAAATTGTTTGTTTTTTAATATATTTTTAAATAAGACCAGTGTAAATCTTTATTTGGCCGACATTGTATAACTATTAGCATTATAAATCTCTGTTGATTAAGATTCCACAAATAAAGGAGTGTATTTATTGACTGTTCTGGAACTCACTAAAATTTCTTAATCTTGTTTAAAATATCATGAAGACAAAACCAACATGTTTAATATAAGCAGACCTTTACTTGAGCTGTTCAGGTTAGAAGATAATATTGACAGAACCAGTAACTTTAACTTACACAAGGGAATGGAAACCTCAGCCAGACCTTGTTTTGCTGGAAAACAAGGGTAATATGGAAACTGACATTTTTAAGGTTATTTACTTAACTGGAATCACCTTTGAAGCTTTGTTTTGCCTTGACAGTACCCATCCTATAGCTAAGAAGAATTCCCAAAGATCCCTGAATCATATGGATTGCTACCCCTGCGTTGATCTGTCAGTCACTAAGCAGACATTGCTAATGTAATAGGTGCCGGAAGTGTGGCAGATTACATATGAAAATAAGGACCGCAAAGATTTTGTAGAGTCATGTACATAAAATGACTCTTTAAAAAGAACAAAGAATAGGAAAGATTAGATAGTGAAGTTCAAGGTGGTAAAGACTTAATCCATGCAAAATTTAACTTCCCAGGTCACCAAACAGAATAATGACAATATTATAAATTAATAATGCAGACAGTGTTCAGTTCATTTGCCTGTTGCATCCTAACACTTTGGTTGTAAATTTGGTTGGAAGTAATTTCTAAGGATTAGTTAATCTTGCATAAAGGTTAAATCAAATCCATTTCTAAGATGGGAGACCCTTACAATATCTCAGGAGGGTTAAAGTTAAGGGGAATTAAGATGCATTCTGCCTTCTGCTTAAGAACATATTCTCATACATTACACCACAGATGTCTCAGTTTAGATTTATGCAGAAAGTTTGTTGTGCTTTAGAATGTAAGGAAGATGATTCATCTTATTTCTGAAAGAAAATAAAACACCTTCCCCACATCCTTTAAAATATTTCTTACTCCTTTGTACTCAAAGTATTTGCTTAGCTGTGCATTCTAATAAATTTAAGGTAGGCGTTACATGACAAAACATTATTGCCTGTTTATGTTTTACCTCTAGCGTCAAGTACTATTTAACACTACACTGGCCCTTTAGTAATTAGTGGAAATAAAATCAATTTAAAGTTCTATAAACATAATTAAGAACACAACAAAATGTCACCCTTCAGTAGCAGCAGAATGTCAGCTGAACGTTCCAGTGATTTGTCAGAGAAATAATTACAGTCATATTATTCTACATACAAAACTATGTATCAGCAAAATTGTTTACATTGCAGAAATTTCACTGAGACACAACGGCAACATCAATATGTACAGTATACCAATGGTTTGAGATGTATTTTCTCATAGAAGTGGAGTATGTAGTGATCTTGTGGAATTCAATAATATATCAAGAGCAAGTCATCATTGGGCTAAACAGGTTTCTAATTCTGTATTCTCCTTTATTTTTTTCTGTTAATTAAATTAGATTCTTTAATGTTATGGTATTTTTATTTTCTTAAAACATTCTAGTTCTTAGAATGTTTCTATAGAATTTTGACAGTTCAGATATAGCCATATTTTAGATATTTTATTTATATAATCTTTATCTAGAAATATGAAAATGTGTCCAGCTTTGTAAAGATTCCAAAAGGTGTGTTGATCGGTGGGTATATTAATTGCTTTTAAATCTAGCCTTATTGTACATTTTTGCACATCAATCTTCTCAACCCAAACTCCCTACCAACACCATTTAGACAGACTATTTCAGCTAATCAATTTCACTTAGCAAGAGTCAAGAGGTATATGTGCATATTATTGAATATAATTTCTATTTATTAATGGGAAATTGATACTGTCGATCCCATTCACTGAGCCAAACCGGTCTTTTAATTGTTGATTACTAGAGGAGAATTTATAAAGAGAGAATAACAGATGGCAGGTTCTGTATTGTAATGCTGGAAATCCATCAAGAGAATCTGATGCAGAGGCATGAGAGTGAATCACATCTTGTATTTACCGGGTTTAGGTTTCCATAATCTTGATGTTAAATCTCTCTGTCAAAATGATCAACAGCAATTGTGAAAAAGATGAATGTAATTCTGGTTCAGGGTTTCCTATAAACCTGTTGGCTCTAAATACCTAAATTAATTGCTTGTAGTTTAGTCACCAAAGGGTCTGTGAATTTTGTCAGTTGTTTGCATTTCTTTTCCTGATATCTTTATGTTTTTAAGAGAGTAAGCAAATGGAATGATAGCAAATTGTTCTCTGTCTCTTCAAGAAGATTCTACATGGTTACATCTTCTATGTAAAAAAAATTAAAGGCAAATAATTTCAAAGGTGCATTTGAACAGGAAATATTTAACTTGATTTTTTTTCATATATACTTACATAAATTAATACAAGATTTCTGTGTAAATCAATTGCATATTGGTTATAAATAATTACACTTTTCTTCTTTTTGTTTTATAATGAGATCGAGATGCACACCTTTTGATAAATCAATAAGAGCAAAGATCATGCAATGGGAATGCTGGATTTATATGACAACCCTTACATTATAAAACATTATTTTATGTTGATTTAATATATATTTTAATACGTTATTTAACATATTTTACATTATTTTAAGAGAATACATTTAAATACCCTATAGTCATATGACCAACCTTCATATTAATGTATCTTTGAGTAAGAGATTGTTTTCAAAGCCTGTAAACCAATTAAGAAAGTCCAATATTTTGTAATTCTCATACATACCATAACCAAGGAGATGGCAGAGGTTACAAATAATACTGTAGTTGCTAAACACAGATGTGGAATTGTTAGGAGGGGTGCCCAGCCACCAAACATTATTCAGCATTAGAATAACAATGATTATTTTTAGTGTTTTCTTTCTTGTTTTCACATGAAATCTCGTCACCCCTCATTCTTCATGTTCACACCTCTAAATTAGTAATGTTGTCCATACAGTTCACGTTTGCTCTCCAGGTTTTTATTGATTTTCTAGGAATTTAAGGGACAGGTTTTTTTTTTCTTCTATAAGTCAATGCATCCAACTCAAATTTAAATGTGTATGTTTTGAAGGATGTTTGGTGGTCCAGAACTTGCAGTGTTGTAATAATAATTCCACCTCAAATTAAAAGAAGTACCAATATCAAAACTCACAGATTTAACGTTTTTTTATGCTCCAGAAACCATCATGAGGAAATGGATGGTGGTTTGTTGTAACTTTAATATGCTATTATTGGATAAAAAATAGTGCTGTCTTAATTAATTTTAAAAGTGTAAGTTATTTGTGGTTGTCAAACCAATTTAAACCATGAGATTGTGGTGCACTGAATGCCAAGAATTTGAGTTTACTAAATGATATTCAACAACAAAGGAAAAAGCTCTTCTTAAACATGAAATGAACTATTGAGGACTATTTAAGTTTTGTTTCCATAGCTGCTTCTCTCTGTGGTATAATAATAAAACTGTAGTGAATTACACCATCTTGCCTTTTTCATCTCTGTAAACTATTCACTTATTGATTTATAATGACAACAAAGACATTGTATTTAACTTGGAACTCAATATTGCAGAGGAATTGAGCCATCCCAAGGAATATAAATCCAAATTGCAAATCTACCATTTATGTCTGTTCATGTTTCTAACCCATCAGCTCAGTACTGTTTGGTTTGGAAAACCCTAGGCCTGAGGCATTACAATGCTTGTTGTGACTATTAAATGTTTACTTTCAGTTTTGTATTTCCATTTTTAGTTGCCTTACTAAATGTGCTCATTTGTTTTGGGGTTTATTCACCAGTATTCAATTTACAATTAATACTCAGACGATCTGTATTGTGACAAAAGAAAACCAGAGTTAGTAGATAGGATTTTATTCAGTGGAGCTACAGTGTTCAATTTGAGTACAATTACTCAGGCTTGTACAGTATATGCAAGCATCTTTCATAGACTTAGCACATACATTTTCAGGCAGGGCTATAAAATGGGTAGTTTAGAAAAATAAAAGCTTTGACAAAAAATATTGGTGTATCCAATGCTTATAACACAAAGAACAAAAATTAGTTTAATGTACTTTTCTTACAATGTTCTGTCAAATACAGTGTCTTCTACTTCCAACTTCAAATGAATTAGGGGCTTCAGATTCTGAAAATGTATCTTCACTCTTTACCTTAATCCAGCAGAGACTCTGCTTCATTCTCATTTCAAGCCCTATAGGGACAACACCCATGTCAAGAAGTATCATTGTAATATGTCTTGTTCTGTGTTGTGTAAATATCAAAGGTAACAGGAACTGAAATTATTTGAAACTATCACAGCTAAAAATTGATTGTCTTCCTATGTTTACGTAACCAGATTTACTCTCAAAACACAAACTGTCAAATTCCAAAATGTTAACAAATGCATTGCTAAAAGGATTGTTTTGAGTTTCAGAAATGAATTGTTTAAGATACAATGTATACTTTTTACATTGTGCTTTTTTATGTTTAAGGAAAAGTAACACTTCCTATCTTGTATCTTCCTCATCATACAATGTATACTTTTTTTCATTCAGATTCCTTCACAGTTCCCTTTACAAAGCCTATATATTTCTACTTGTAAATGTATCTCCAAAATCAGCAACATTAAACTACCCATTAGAGTGTTATCAAAATCTCCCATGCACTAATATAAGGTCTTACCTGTTGCTTTTTAATGGATCTTTGACTGTTCTGGCCACACAGACATGTCGTCTGAGTTGGGACCTTGCACACCTGGGTTCAGTCTTCACTCTCTGTTTTGAATATAGAATGAGGGAAGACAATATATCTGTATGGCTATACCTCTGCAATGGGAATGGAACATGGGACATATCAAAGCACATAAAACAGTTTTTCACAAATTACATCTTTACAGCTCTCAGTGCAATGCAATATAATCTACAGAGTGGTCATTGTCTTGTGTAAAGCAGTGTGTTCACCTTTCCTTTGCATGTATTGTCCAAAACAGCACAGTGGAACTGAAAGGCACTTGACGTTGGAGAGACTTTCTAAGCAGTGGCCAAAGCAAAAGTGTAAAGGGACAATTTAGCTTTTCAGGGCACCTGAGTTTCTATTTCCCTAAGGGCGTTAGAACCAGCACACCTAAGCACTTAAGTCATCAAAACCTTTAAGGGAGAAATGATATTCTGTTTTCATTTGCCTCTGAGATCTTCTTGACCCCTTTCATTTCAGTTTGTGCTGTGGTTATATTCTATCACAATATATCAAAGTGCATCATTTGAAACATGAAAAGGATAATAGTGTAATCATGAATCATGTCTACCGTGGAATTGAGTTATTTGTAAATTGTCCACATTGTAAAATTAGGAAATTACCTTAAGTTCAATATACAATATTAGCATGATTAAGCTCCAACTGCATGTAGGCTAGTACATATACAGTGACAGTCTTATTGAAATTAATGTAGAGCAAATGGCTTACTCCTGTTTTATTCAAATGTGTTTCTTTCTCACAGCAGAGGGGGCAATTGTAGAATAGCATTACATAGATACAGCATATGGTCACATCCATTTGTTCTAAAATTTGCCTTGATAATTACCAGTAAGTTCATTACTTTAACATTTTAAGTATTGTAACTGGCATATTGCAGTGGTAGACTCATTTGTGATTCCAAATCTTTTGTGCATTGCATGCATTTTTTTTTTCTTGAAAGGATTCCAGACTCAATGCAATAGTTTTATTAAGTTAATTTATGAAACAAAAACATAACAGATCTTTGCCATAGTATAGCAATTTGTGCATATTCCTGGCATGGCACAATGGTAATGAATGACTGCCAGCATCATTAGATGGCATAATTGCTATAGTATGGAAAACACATTTTAATTAGGTCTGGGGATACACTGAGGTTTCAGTGCTCTACAGATAATATTTATATACCTCCTTCAAACCTAGATGTTTTTTTTTTATTTCCACAAATAGAAGTCTTCAGTTCTGTGTGCCTGACAAGGCTCAGGGAACATGGAGCAAGTTTTCTTGTGATTTTGTTTTTCTTAGTCCCTAGTGAAAACTACTGCCACATTTTAACTTGAACTCCAGGTCACATGATACATGAACTCTCACCTCTTGACCCCATTTCCAATAGGTCTGTGAGCTGGGGAATTCAGTGTTGTGGCACAAAGACAGTTACTTAAGGAAGTGGGTCACAATTTCAGTCAACATGGCTCACATTCTCTCATATTCTTGACACTTTTCACTAAAATATTTAACCTTCAGTACTTCAGGAGTTGACATTACATTTTGTATGTTTTGAGGATATGACCTTTTCTATCATGGTGCCTTTGCTTATCCTTATTCAGAAGGAAAGAAAAATAGCTAAAAGGTATTGAAAGCTAAAAAGGAAACATTTTTATTGTGTGACTATAGGTGGGATGTTAATACAATTAAAACTGTATACCTGTCAATGATGTTAATACAAATAAGAACTTTTAAAACAATAGATGTATTTTAAGTATAGCACTTATCTTTTTTTTTAATCTACATTGATCTTGGTCCAAGGGTGTAGTTTCCAGTGGGATGTTTGTCATCTCTTCCCTTTCTGTCATTAACACACTTAACTTAGAGCATAAAGCTTGCGTACACAAGAATAAACTTTTTAACTATTAATTGACATTGTGTGAACAGTTGGCAACAGTTGGATCCATTAGAAGTGTAACGTTTTTGTACAGCCTATACTAAGGGACTGGGACTGACCAAGAAAGTGACAGAATTTTATTGAAATGCATTGCATTTAACACATTTTGATAGTGACTTATTTTAATTTACAAAAGGAACTGCACATTAGGCTTCTGTGGGCAATGTTACTAGGTGATGTTAAGCTCCAGAAAGTACAAATATAAAAATGTGCATATTGGTTTATAGCAATTTAATGGCGTTCTCATTAAATGGCGCAGTCGATAAAGTCACGTTTTAAAAACAGAATATCTTAGTCTGTCCAAAATTCTTGCAGCTCCTGTTCACCTCCTCTTATCAAAAGAAACTGAAAACATGTAGCCTATTTCTACATTGCATTTAGCCCCTGGAGTAACTACGAAAGCGCCTGCGCGATGGCGCTGTTTGTACATCCCTGTACTCCGCTGAGCTTTCCTTACACTGTCACAAGGTAAGTGCTGTATTGTATTAAATACACAAATCACAGAATCCTTTTTCCCCGCTACAACAAACACTACATTTACAATTCGGAAAGCGTATTTTTTGTTGATTTTGTATAATTTTTATTTTGTCAATTCTTTTAAATTATCTAACAAATAGGACATCGGACATAAAACAGGTAAGAAGCGGAATTTTAATGTCCCATTTAAAGCAACTTAGTATTTGGACGTAAGTCTCTGTCTCTCGTTTCAGTTGATCTTTTAATGCTCCATTAGCAAGAACATTATATTTTAATATAATTATATTACAAGTATTGTAAATGTCGCTACATTAAAACTACCCACCTGTAATGAGTAATGTTTTACTTGATAGTCAAAAATAAAAAAAGTAACAGCAGTTGGTTTTTTTTCATTATTAAACCAAATGTATTAATTGACTTTGTTGATTCGTTATCTGGCTATATGTGATATTTATATACGGATGCATAAAGTTTTTAATATGCATAATTATGGTAATAGATTAATTTATGTAAAAGTGATGCCAATCTTAATGGTTCGCAGACGTGATAAATACGCAAAAACATTATTTTATGCTTTAAAACGCGGTTTATTTCGTGATACCCGCTTACTGTAGAGTGTGCTGAATATGCACTCTTAAATTGCGCCGTTTCGAATAATCGTAGATTTATCTTTTCTGTCAGAAATAGAAATCATATTTTAAAATCCTTAATTACGCAGTATGGAGGGTATAATGTGCACTAGGTGAACACCAAGTTTTCTTATTTTAAAGTATGACAATGGTTTATGTTTTATAGTAATAGGCCTAATAAATATTTGTTAAATGACTAATACACTGGTTGATTGTGAAAAGGTCATGACGACTTTCTTGTTGTCATTTCTTGTTTTCGCTATTAATCATATTGTTTATTATATTGTCAACATTCCATGGAAAATACAATATAAATGCAGGGATTTATTTTATGGTTGTGTTTAAAGCTGTAAGCAGACCGAACAGCTGAATGCAAGTTTCTTGTAAAATGATTTTTCCCTCAGCTGGAAGGTTTCTGTGATTCCTGTAGGTGGGGCAATATCACCACAGAAAAGCAGGCAAATGAAAGAAGAAACGTAGTTTACCACTATACCTACAAACACCACTTTTATTGAGACATAATGGACCTTAATGCAAAGCATTGAAGATAGGTTTTAATCTTAACTGCTATATGAACGTGTGTGAAATTATATTACGCGGCTCTTATACAATATTATTCAATAGAACAAAGCAGATTTTATAAGTGTGTAATAGAGTGGTCATAATTTCGCCACTATCTATAAATATATGTACAGAATATTTCTTTTAGGTGCATTGAGTTAATTATTTAATAGTTTGAAAGCCTAAAATGTATCCTTAGGCTATGTGTGTCTTACAATCTATATCTCATTTTTGAAACAGGTGGGAGACTTTAAAAGACCTTAATGATCGGAATAAACTTGGTAAACAATCTATCATTTTTTTCACTTTTGACCGTTAATAAAAAAGAAGAGCATGGTACGTAGACATATTATTTTCAGTTTCAATTTCACTATATATTTTACATGTTAATAGTCTGGAAGAGGTCTCAGTTTCTTTATTCATTTCTTTCTCCCTCTTTATATCAGTATCGCCCCGGGCTACGCTCTGGGCACCCACGCCGCCCAGCAGATTTCTCTTCATTTTAATATCCGAATGAAAATGCAAATTATACGGCGACCGGGTCTTTTAGTGTAGCTTGCCGGTGCACTTGTTTCGTGGGATTTTACAGAAAAATGATTCAAGAAAATATTGTAAATGAATTGTCGTTCAGAGTCTTAAACGTGTTTCTTATTGCAATACCACTATTATTTTTCTTAAGAATATTTTATATTTATGCATTTGTTGCCTTTACTCAAACTATAAGAATAATTAAAATACCGTGTAGAATTATTTTACTGAACAAAAAACATAAGTGTGAAAAAGGAAAGTATCTTATATGTGTTCATCCAAATGAGTCCTCTCGGGAATGCCATACATTTATTTAGTTGTTTGGGAACTTTTAGATTATTGTACTATATTAGTCGTATTAAGGTAAAGTCAACACAAAATGAAATTGAAAGGTAGTGCCTAATCTTCCAGTAAACTTCAGTTAAAACGATTTTCCCGAGGATTTATCGTTTATCGCGTTTTATAGGCTATAGAAAGACGTTAACTGCTGTGGTTCATTAAGGTCTGTGAGATAAATGGTTAGAAATACCATGCAAAAGCTCATTTGGATGGGTTAAATATATTTATAAACAATTATAGAAAAACCCCACAGGTCTACTTTCTGTCTTATTTCATGGTTTGTATTTTTCTTCAATATCCGTCGTGTTCTTGCAAGTTTCAGTTTGTTCCCAATGAATATTTAAACGTTAATAGAAGATTGAATTGTATTAGGACATCTGGACTGACAGTATCAAATGTGACAACAGCGTCCCAGTGGTTGCTGAAATTTCAGAGTTAATTATAACGAAGCATGTTTAATTAAAGCCAATTACAATATCTTAAATTATCTGATCGATCCCAGTGTATACAATGTCGGTGTTTTCTTCTAATAAATACGGGGATATGGGAATGATATCTTGTACTGCACAACTTTACTACCGAATCTGTCTGCCAAGATGCAACATTATATAACATAGTCGCGAAATGTTCTCCAAAGATCTGCTTGTTTGATTTGATCTATTTTCCATGCATGTGAGTTATTACGTTTAAATGTTTACTTCTACGTTTTTATTCTTTATGTTTTTTAAAAATGAATGTTTTCCTCGTGATTGTGAATTTTGTGCCTTTTTGTTATATATTTTTCAGCAAGCAGAACGCCGATCATTAAACAGGTGCATTTGCCACGCTTTAAAAATACTATGTCCAGTCCTTCATTTACCAAGTGCACATGTATTAATTGGTTTGTGTGTTAATAATATAAATTACAATTCAGTAGAAACCTGTACAAAAATTAGAAAGCAATGCTGGGATCATCTTATTTTTCTTAAAATATCACGAAGTTTTTGACTGAAAATTATTTTTATTACGTTGTAGTTTCAAGTGTTAATCTGTCAAACTACCTGAGGGCGGCGCTGCTCATCAAACTTAAAATAACATCTCAAGGTGCGCTTTCCATTGAAGTCGAGTTATGCCTGCAGCCCTTGAAAAATCATTGCATTTTGCAGTTTTTACTTTATGATTTTGTTAATATTTTTTGCGCTTTGTAACATGTACTGAAATACAAATCCAATGTGCATTCTATATATTTAAGTGTTTACATTGTATGTATATAGCACAAAATATGCTGTTGCTATAAATGTCATACAGTATATTCCTCTTGATATAATTGTATTTTTTGTATATTTTCTCAAATATATAATACCCTTAACGGAATTTTATTATCGGTAAGCCATTGATGAGGGGAAACCTAACGACGGCTTTAAAAATATAGTCTTTCAAAAGACTTGTTTTTAAAGTTGTACCAACAGCAACCAAAACACAATACTAATAAATGTTAATTTCAAGTTTCATCATATGCGTCTATGTTTAAATCGATTGCATAATTTAAACACTGTAAGCTAAATCATCTCAAATACAGAAATGAAATTTAATATTACTTTTAACATGTAAAGTGCATGGTAGATAATGGAAGCTATTTGGGGCTTTAAGTGGGTGAAAGAAAGTAAACAGTGTACAGAAAGCATAGCTATACTAGATCGTAAATAAATAATCTCTGTAAACTAAGTTCATATTATCTTAAATGAAATTTTAACATTTAAATTGCAAATATCCGAAAATCTGAACGCCGTGTTTCATCTTTAAAATATGAGCGTGGTGACAAAAGCGTCTAATGGAACTTGCGACGTTAAAATAAGATGACATTTTGATGTGTAATACACGTCATTTTTTTCAGTAAATTGTTGCCATTAAATAACAACAAAATATCAATAAAACACCCTTCTGTTATTTTGCGTGTGTATCATTACAAAATGGCGTTTTTGTATAATTGTACGATGTCAGTCTTTTTTTGCAATGGCTGACACCCTTGGACTACACATGAAGGGGCTGTCTAGATTGGTAACCAATAGAAAGACCTGGCTACAGAGACCTGCCACAACTCTGATTCCCTACAATTTCCAAAACTCCCAGAATCGCATTTTTTCTTAACTCTTGTTTTATCTAATGTTTTCTTCTACCCTTTTGAAGAAAATGTAAAGTCTCTCGCATAATTTAACGCGCGCAAAGCATGTTCTTTGGTAATAATAATTACAGAAAACTTGTGAAGATACACTTTTTGAAATCCTTCGAGTAACGCATGAAGAGCGCAATATTTGGAATGTAAGAGTAGACTACGTTTTGATTCTTGAAATGTATAAGCTCCTAGTATGTGAATTGTTTTACAGCTCGTTCTTTCAAATTTGACGTTCATAAGTTAATTTTGCATTCGGACTTGAACTTCAGCATTAGTAGGTTTTGCAGTTGTACTTGACAGGTTATGCGGAAATGGAGAGATACATGAAGGCAGACGTGTTTTAAATGAATAAGTGTTATTTGTGTGTAAAGACGAAGTTGTAGAAAGTTGTCTTTGTAACGTGTGTAATTTTGTAAAACTACGCACGGTTTTGTTTCATCTTGTGTTCCAGCAATCATTGGAAATCAAATTATCTATTGTTTTAATTGCATCTAACCAAAACGGGAATTTTGTGCGACTCCGTATTTACATGAGAAAAGTGAAAGTAGTCTTTTAAAAAGTCATAGATTGAATGTAAGATGTGCGTTTTCTAAGTGGCTTTAGGACTATTTATTTTTTCCTCCGTGTAAAAAAAGAACAAAAATATGAGAAACAAAATTTTAAACTGTATCTTTAAGCTTTCTTCATGCTCTGGTATGATGTTAGGAGGACAGCTGGGCAATGGCCATCTGACTGACTTTGCCTTGACATCTGGGAGCCCACTGGTGTGTGGCACGCGAATCGGTTGATGTCGCTATTTAAATGCAAATTTGTGGGGGATCATTGAAGCCTCACCCCGTAAATTCACACAAAAGGAACACTTCACACACAATAAGGAGGAGGGTCGTTTCTTCGGGAGGTCTTGGCAACACCAAGCAAATCTTATTCAAACCCACACACCTTCTGCATGACTAGTTTCTCTTTTGTCCAGCATCTACTATTAGCACACTTCTTAAAATAAGATCATACATCACCGGCAGCGACTAAATCCACATTTCGTCATCATGGTTTGTGTAATAGACCGAATTTCAATCTAGTTTTATATAAAAAATTAACTACTCACAAATATTATTACTATTATTATTACTATTATTTTATAACTTTTCGCACTTTATAACCATATATAGACGCATGCCTAATCGTGAAGCAAGAAGAAATTCATTTTTTTCTCTTTTTCGTTAATCTATTACTTAATGAAAAATATTTTCTTAATCACAGAAAGGGGAAAACGTGTTTCTCTCTTTATCTTCACAATTATATACATTGTGTTCACAAAATATCTGTAGGCTAACGGCATGTTAGAAAAGAGCTAGGTACTAGTAAGAACAAAATCCATGCAGCGACTGATAACAGATTAGTGATTTTTTTTATCAAGTCTAAATAAATTAATAAATCTTAACTGCAGTACTTATTTGTTTTAATTAAGAGTTAATATGAGAGCTACCTAAATTCTGCGGAAATAAACCGATGTGAACTGTCTTCCTGTTGTGGTATCATTTTAAATTTAGCTTGTAGCTAACAGTATAGTGGAGTCAAGGTAAAAGTTGGTGAATAATAAAGACCGTATTTTCCACGCTTTGGGTCCAGGACCAGATGATCCTAGAAAATGAGCTGAAATACATTCAGGCTCAGCGCCTGTTGTGAAGAGCAGCTGATTCCCCTATTTCTGGCCAGATGGCTTCTGAACACAGATTTGCATTCATTTTCGCCTAATATCTTCCAAAATAGTGGGGCAGCTGCATATGTTGTCAAATAAGGTTTAAAACTCCTTTTTAGGACAGGATCGTTACCTACGTGATGGGTTTGTGGAACTTTTTTCTCGATCCAGTCAACAGTATCAGCTTTAAAAGGATTTGTTTTAAAACCTCCTAATTTGGTAATCAGATTTAAATCGCCTTGGCGCGTGTAATCTGTATTAAAGATACAGTAAATGACATAAAGCAATGTGCAGTTTTTTCTCTGACATTACAAAAAGATTGTAATGCGATGCCAAATTAATCCATATATAGATTCATATATTTCCTCTAAAATGATGGACGGATATAGTGCTACCCATGTTTTTGACTTCTTCAAGTGATTATAAATCAATTACTTCTACACTTTTAAACTTATTTTAAAACTTAACCAAGTGCGCTTTTTTAAATGTCCTCTTATCTTCATTTTATTTAAACAAGAAAGCTTCCATCTGTTTAATGAAATATGAAACATAATAGTTTATTTGCGTGCATTACAAACGGTAATATTATTTTTTTCCCACTATAAGAATATTAAAATTCTGAATACACTGGTAACTTCAATATGTGACGATCTCTTCTAAAGTCTAATCTTATTACCCTCAAATCGTCATAAAATATGATTTTATTATACTTACGTATTTAATTAGACGACCAGGCAATGTAATGGATTTTGAGACCGGGCTAGAGCAACAGCTTTGATAATTCACTTATCTTTGGCAATAGTCATTAACCCCCAACACCAGCAAAATAGATTGCTTTCTAACACATCTCTCTTCTCTTCCTTTCGCCCCCCCAATACCCACCCCCCTTCCCCTCCACCCCCTTTAGTAGAGAGGGCTGAGGGGGTCCCCAGATAACACAAATCGGACTTCGATTTTCACCGATTAATTAAAATATTAACATGCATACCCTGCCAATTGACAAAAAAGCGGAAGCGCTAACTTAAAGGATAAAAAACATCACTCAATGCTATGATTGTCCCAAGTCCCTTTTTTATTATCAAAGACGGCCCGGGTCTTCTCTACAGGAAAGATGGTAGGACAGCCTCTGTGCATCCCCAGAGTCCTCTTCCAGGGAAACATGAAATACTTTCAAATTAATATAAATTAAATACTTACATTAAAATAGCCTAATAAATAATATTTTACAGTATATCGCACTTAGTGGTGACAGCGGAGAAATGGACGAACATCAAAATACAGGATTTAAGCACCTAATATTGAGATTAATACACAACTCTGTATTTACAAAGACAGGAGTCTTCCTAGTTTTTTATGGTGCTTCATGCTTTGCCTACTGTTTATTATTATTCATTTTTCTATCTACAACCCAAATCCATTTAAAATTGAAAAGCAAAAATGTCTTTAAAAACGTAATCTATTGTCACGCATATTTGTCTTTCTTTTTTTTCTTTAGATTTTGCATGTAGAAAATTATTTCCAAAAACCCAATCGTATACTATGGAGAATCATTTTTAAAATATTGATTTGTTATGTATATTATATTTGAACCGGGTATACCCGTACATGAGGGAGTTCATCCATCCAGTATCGAAGTGTCGTGTTGCCTTTACGTGCGTCGAGCCTTGTGTGGTTTAAAATATAAAAATAAAATTTTCACAATTATTTTCAGATGTGACACACAATGAGTAATTACACTTTATTGGTTTAGACCAATTTCAAACTAAACGCCTTATTTGTAATTGTTTTTTATTATTTATTTCAATCAATGGTCTTTTGGAATATTTAGAGCTGTCCCTGATTTTGTCCTATGATTAAAATGTTGCCTCTTGCCGTAATGTTATTCTGTTTTTTCACATTGATTATTTATGCTCACACATACCTGCGTAAAGTATTTACAATAACATTTCAGCTCCTGTCCCATAACTTTTTGGTAGACGGGAAATTCGTATTGGCTATGTCTTTTTTTTTCCTTGAGGATTTGTGTTGGTGAATAATAACTTCATTGGATGTTGATTTGAAAAAAAAAAATCATCTCACCACATTGTAAGAAAAAGTAGAGCTGGTGTTCTCAGGTTGCAGCTATTAGTCTGTACTCGCCAAGCCGCGCAGCGCTGGTAGGCAGGAATTGTCAGGCTTCCATATTTGGTCAAAGCTACGCCCACAGAGCGTCATATTCTGACAGTGCTGCTCCCGTGGGTTTAGAGTTTTGGCTCCCGGGAAAGGTTCCATTCCTAGGGGATAGAGGGCTGAGTTTTGTATGCTTCCATCCATTCTGCAAGACGCTAAAGGCCCCTCATCAACCTCTCCTGTGTCCGGGAACACCTCCATGGTAATCATTTTTTCGTTTATTTGTCTTTTGGAGCAGGAGCGCCTTGCCAGAAGTGGTCGATTCAGCAGTGTCCTGAAGGTTTTTGATGCTGTTGTAGTAGGATGACACCACATTGAGAGCATCACCAAAACACAAGCAACAAAATATTTCTTTTATTATTATTAAAACAAAAAAAAACAAAAAAAAATCCCGCTAGTTGAACTACTTCTCCAACGAAAGGATCACGTTCCAACTAGCTGCTGAAGTACAGTGCTCTCTGTAAATTGTTTATGTCGTGCCAACACAGGACAGATTGAAGAAGGAAGCAAGACTTGAACTGGGTTTTCCTTCTACTGATCACACAAGAGCAAAGTCATCTCTTATCTTCCAATCGCCAAGGAAAAATATTTTGACATTTCCTTAATCCTCATCCCTTTGGTAGGAGCTGGTTTTGCACAAAAACTGTTTTAATGTTTGGGATTCAGGAAAATATACCAAGAGGTGGGACGACAATGAAAGAGGAACCGCTGGGAAGTGGGATGAATCCAGTCCGATCGTGGATGCACACAGCTGGGGTAGTGGATGCTAACACAGCCGCCCAAAGGTATGTATGCCAAATCATCTGATTTTTTAATGTATTTCTCATATCGACCCTAAATCCCCTCAATACTCTGTATCAATTACAATCTCCCCATGCTCCTCTTCAGGTTTTTTCCCTTTCATTACATCATATTACTGTTATAGTGACAAATCAAGAAATCTCTCGTCTCCCAAACGTGCTTCCCCATCTCCAATGTTTTCATCAGCTCCATCTATCTCTAGTGTCTCTAATACTTAACCGAGATGGTCTCTTGTTTTCTCCCCGCAGCGGTGTCGGTTTGGCACGGGCACATTATGAGAAACAACCGCCTTCCAACCTCAGAAAATCCAATTTTTTCCACTTCGTCCTGGCTCTATATGACAGGCAGGGGCAACCCGTGGAGATCGAAAGGACAGCTTTTGTGGACTTTGTGGAGAAGGAGAAAGTAAGCGCTTCTTTGGATTATCACCCAAAACGATTAGATATAATTTTCACTTTGAGATAAACACTAAATGCCATAACGGTACTCTAGAGGTGGCGGAACCACGTGCAGTTTGACTTATAATAACTGCGCTCGACTTTCAGAAGGGGAAAAAACGAAAAAAAATCAGTAAATACTGACTAAGATTAATGAATTAAACATTATAAAACATCTGAATTAATAAAATATACATTAGGATTTTGTTTGATGTATGATGAAGTGTGTATGTTTATATACGATATACACACATTTTACTTGTGTAGTATTTGAAGCAGTTAAATTCGTCACAAGAAGATATATGATTCACTACAAGTAATTATTGATGCTGGTTATTTACAGGAACCAAACAGTGAAAAAACTAACAATGGAATTCATTACAAACTGCAGTTATTGTACAGCAATGGTAAGTGGAATTAAAATATCAAGATTGCAAACTTTAAGTTTCTAACGGTAAATGAAATAAAAGCTACACAATATGATCGTTAATTTTCTGGTGATATGGATGTTTAAGAAAATACTCAGTCTTTCAGAACCACGGTACTTGGGGATTGTTTGGAGATCAGAAACCAAAATTTAAATTTTTGAAACGTGATTTACCCTTTGGTATTATTTACACACATTTTTCAAGTTATAGTATCTGATAAAAACTAATTATTTTGTGGTAGGAAACAAGTTAAATAAAAGTCAGAATCTAAAGTTTTTAGCTTAATTGTTTACGATATCATGAGTTACTCTTGATGACTGCGATTATTTGTAGTAGTGCAAGATAAGTTTTTGTTAGCACACATTACAATACTGTCTATTCAGCCACAAATCGAATTCGTGGTGAAATATCGGTTGTTTATATAACTTAATTTAAACTTTATAAATGTTTTATTTATACAATTTTGTGTGTATTGTTCTTAGTTACCCTTGGGTGCAAGACAGATCATTTTTCCCACGCTCATCTAGCATGTGAATGTATTATTGATAATAGAAAAGCTTAAAAACAATAATTGTAACATTTCCTCAAACATTGTCAATATGTTAATTTGACATTTTTAAAATCCCTTTTCAGGTGTTAGAACAGAACAGGATCTTTACGTACGACTAATCGATTCAATGACCAAACAGGTAAGAATTATGGTTATATATCAATTTAACCTTTTGTTTTCTGACTGTTATTAACTTGTAATATCGTAGATGTTTAACCGTCGTGTTAGAATTGCAGTTTTTTTAAGTTTAAGGAAGAAGTGAACCACAATTATGGAAATATGAAGTTCATATAAAGTGGATTTTTAGATTTTATTAGAAACTAATGAAATAGTTGTGCGGTGATAAACGCAAGGTATTAACAAGGATTAACATGTATGTGGATAATAAGTGTTGGGAGTGTGTGCACTTCATGTGACGTTTACTCACATATTAGCCAATACATTAAAATACACGGGCTTTGGGGAATTTATACTTAGCAATGTTAGTAAGAGAAACAAATCAGAAAAGCATATCAGGTTAAAAGTTGGTTATCTACCAGTACAAAATCAGCGCTCGACCCCCTTTTCTATAATTCAAGCTGTAAGCTCCAGGGGTCTCCACAACCCGTCCATTTCCTTCAAATCGTCGCTATTTCTTTCCAACCTCTGTCATTCCTTGTACGTAACATAATTATAGGGCAGCGGTTATTGCATTTTAAACTTTACTTTGGCATTTCCAACGAAAGCTATACCCGTGTGAGCTGCGGTTTAAATTGATGTAATTTGGGCTTCGTGTTTTTTTTTACCTCGCTTATAAAGCCAATAGAAATATTCAACATAATTAATAATCATACAGCATAAAATAACAATGCTAAATAATTTATTGGGGGTTGTATTCAAAATGAATTGATGGAATTAGCGAAAACAGCGATTATGCGATTTTTTAAAACAATAGATGTAAGGGCAACTCACTTATTTCCTTAAAGAACCTTATCAATTTAAACTTGGCATAGCGAGAAACTTCGACTAATTACTCTCCAAATACCGAATAAGAATTGTGATCATCTTAAATTTAACGTGTTATTGTATGCATTTTAGCCCATTACCGGATACTATGTTAAAAGTTAAATTATTTTGTTTTTTTAAAGATAAGTAGATGTGACAGGCATGCTAAAATCATTCTGGCAAACACCAGAGCATTTTACCCCTCGGTAATTATTTCAATGGCTAGCAAAGAAAAAACCTTTAAGACTGAGGAGGGCCCTTGATTTGACAATGTGTTTTATTTCCTTTGTATACAGGATCTAAATGTTTTCGGAAATCACTGGTGTCTAATTAAGGGACACATATAGATAACTACAGACTACACTTTCACTGAATAGAAAGCTTAAGTGGTGAGGTTTAAATAAGGTTATTATTGTCTTTCATTTACCCACTGTTGTGGCAGCTCGAATACTATTGAAAATGAGAGCGTTTAATCTCCCACTTCATCGACGTAAAAATAGCCCTGTAAATGATCAAAGAGTCAATGGCGCTGAACCGTCAGTTTATGGATTTCTGTATCTGGTGATAAAAAAAAACAAAAATAAATCACACCAATATAGGAGACCATAGCAGCAGAAGCAGACGGCAGAAGTTATAGGAAACTTTTTTTAATCTCCAAAAGATATTACGCCATGTGTACATGTGTTAATACATTTTAAATATACTGTGTAAAATACGTTTAAGTTAGATGCGGAAACGACAGAATTGGACTTTTGTCTTTTTGTCTAGAACGTAATTAGGTTATGTGATTTGGTTTAATTAATTTTCCTCATTACACCTTAAACTCTTCTACGCATAATGCTAAGCTGTGCGAAACAGGAATAAAAGCGTTTTTCCTTCAAAACCCGTTTTTCTTACTCTTTTTTAAAATTACAAATGCTGACTTTTTTTAATTGAGTGGGTATTTCGTACGCAGGCCTATTTTAGTGCTTTTGAATTACTTTGTTTTTCTTTACGTTACAAGACCGTTATCATTTTCTCTTGGTTTGCTGTTCTAGTTGAATGTAGATGCTATTAGGGTAGTAATTATAGGTTAGAATTTCCAATAGTGGAGCTGGCTTGCTGATGCGCTCAGCTGAGTAGTAAAGCAGCTCGCGCGGGTACACTGTGTACAGTCAGGCACAGTGGAGTTGTTGTACTACAGCAGACAGAAAGAGAGAGGGAGAGAGAGAGAGAGAACTGAAGGCGAGCGCACCTAGAGCTCTACACCATCTGTTTAAGCCAATGCTCAAAAATTACTCAACCGTACCCCCAGACACTGCTTTTTATCCAAAGAAAAATCATTGTTAGCAGCTCAAAATAAACAACAGATTGCCCATTAGCACTTTTCCCCCAAATATCTGCAAATTATAACCATATTGATGTATACGGTTATGGGTATTATTTGAAGCGCCCTTCTGCATGTAATGAAAACCTCCATTAGCTATTTAATAAGTGTTTTTATAGACATATATGTACTTCAATGTATCTATGTGTATATCTAAATCTATATGGATTTGTATACATACTACACAACAGGCATGTTATAGCATGAACAGTGGTTAAACTCCCCCCAGATCTGTGTCAAGTTCTCATTCCATTTTTTCTTACACCTATGCTGAAAAAATAGTTCGCGTAGAACATGTATTTTTTTTAATTCTCAGGGATGTGGTGGGTAATACAAAGCTAATAATTCGAATAAAATGTTGTCAAAGAGATTATTACTGTGTTTACCACAGTGCACCAATAAGAGTTTTATATGGACAAAATATGTTTTGATCACCCGCTCATGGAAGTTCAGTAAATCCTTGGGCTGACAGGTGATTTCATTAGTTACGTTGGCAGAAAGTAACGCAGTGCGCACGTACAGCTCTACGTGTGTATTTTATTTTATTTGCCCGCTGCTGCCGTGTCTTTAAAACGTAGACTGTATATTTATTTAAAAATGAACGCATAACTTAACAGTTGCAAAGCACATACCTTAAAGTTTTGAGGTGTCAAATAAATAATAATAAATCAAACTGGGATTTATAGATCACGGCCAAGGTTCTAGAAATAATATAAACAATTGTTATTGCGCAAACAACTGCAATGGTGCCCTTCTGCGTTTTTGTTTGCGATGAGACTGTGCTTAATATTAAACCCAATTATGTACTCAAACCCCTGGTCTGTCCTTTTAAAATTTATTTGTGAAAAGTATTACTGATTTGTATATTTTTTCTTTTAAGGCGATTGTTTATGAAGGTCAAGACAAAAACCCCGAAATGTGCCGAGTTCTTCTTACGCACGAAATTATGTGCAGGTAAGACAAACGGTGTTCATGTCTTTGTTGGTGATTTTGCAAGGAATATGTACATTTAACTCAAAATGCCTCATTTAAATTGTCTGGAATTGAGAGAATAAGAATCCACGTCCTTGCATTTTGATGAACAATATTATCTTATTACGTTTATCTGGCATTTCAACTCGTTTACTGTTTTTAAAAAACTGAAGACGTCTAAAGCGGAGCGCATTGGAAGTGGTACGAAAGCTAGCGGTTTAATTATTTTTGTGTCCGATTTGAACTATATGCAAGATATTTCAACTTACTTTTTATCAAATTACAAAGTTTAATACGGATCGATCTTGTAATGAATACCTACCACCGTGGACCGTAGAAAATCAACATTGTAAAATGCGAACTCGATCGCCTGCGTATACTACAAATCGTGTTATCCATCATGATACCAAACACATTATTATGCACTAAGCTTTAAAGGAAGTAGCGTTATCGTTTTCACTAATAGATGAAGAGGATAAATCCAACATGATGTTCACTGGAGCAGATTAATATGTTGCCTCTGTGACTGCAATATATTCAGAAATGAAAACAGGTCATAGTTGATGCATCTGTCATTGATGCTATAGGAGTCAG